GGAGGATGTTCACATGGAACGCCCACCGGGGTTTCCTGGCACTTACCCTGCCAATACAGTGTGGAAGCTGAAGCGCCCAGTGTATGGCCTCAAGCAGGCTCCTCGTGAGTGGCACAACAAGGTGAAGGAAGTCCTCCTCGCACTTGACTTCCATCCCTCTGCCTCAGATTCCAGTCTCTTCGTTCGTCACTCCTCCGAGCCCTTCTACATCCTCGTCTACGTCGACGACTTCATTCTAGCCGCCAGAGATCCAGCCGACATGGCAGCTGTCCAGTCTGCTCTCAGCTCCGCCCTTCTCATGAAGGATCTTGGTGACCTCAAGAACTACCTGGGGATGGAGATCACTCGTGACCGCCAGGCTTGCACGATCACCCTCTCCCAGGAGTCCTACATCGACAACCTTCTCAAGCGGTTCGACATGGACTCCAGTAACTCTTTCTCCACTCTACTCCCACTACAGCATCAGCTCACGGCCCCTCCAGTTCCTTCTCCTGACGCCTGCAAGGACCCGTACCCTGAGCTAGTCGGTTCACTCATGTATGCCATGATGTGCACTCGACCAGACTTGGCTTACCCGGTTAGTGTCCTCTCTCGGTACGTCTCCCCCGGACGCTACAATGCCTCGCATTGGTCTGCAGCCAAGAGGGTCCTCCGCTATCTACAAGCCACCAAGTCTCACATCCTCACTCTTGGTGGTACCTCTCCAGTCAAGCTCGAGGGATACACAGACTCCTCATGGGCCGATGACCAGACTGACAGACGCTCATCCCAAGGGTACTGCTTCACCCTTGGTAGCGGAGTCATCAGCTGGCGCTCCACTCGGTCCTCTGCAGTCTTCCTGGTGCCTGCGAGGCCGAGCTCTACGCGGGTACAATGGTTGCTCAAGAGGCACGCTGGCTCTCCTTTCTCCTCGCTGAGTTAGGCTACCCCTAGCAGTCGCCCACCCTGTGGTGTGACAACCAGAGTGCCATTCACCTCACCAAGGATCCTGTGTTCCACTCTCGCACCAAGCACATCGAACTTCGTCATTTCTTCATCCGAGATCTTGTTCAGAGTGACCAGCTGACGGTACGGTACATCGCCTCAGATTGCAACCTCGCCGACCTCTTTACCAAGGCTCTCGGCAAGGCTGACCACCATCGCCTTCTCCGTTCCATGGGGCTATGTGCTCCTTGATCGGGTTTGCAGTCTATGGGGGTGTGTTAGAAATAGACTGCAAATACCACTTTTGTATTTGTACTTTTATATCCTAGTTTAGGTTGTGAATGTTCTAGTGGGTTGGGGTGTACTCACAAATCCCAACCTCACCCAATTGTGATCCTCACAATCTCCAATTACCCAATTGGAGATTCCGGAGATCCCAATGGGGATTCCCTCCAATTCCCCCTTCATCCATTCTCTCTCACCTTGCCATGTACTTACAGTGGCGGATTAAATTGTCCACATGTTTTGCCTTTTTTGGCATTTTTATGAGTGCAGAGGCGTATACATTAAGCCTTAATGTACGGTGTGCATTAACGCTGAGAAGTTCAGTTAGAGCAGTCACTCCAGTGTTCAAACACCAAAGTAGTACCACACATGGTCCTTAAACTCCTAAGCATAGCATGGGAGAACATGTGGACAATTTGTACCGGAAAATGGTATCACACTAGATTCTAGGAAAACTAGTACCTAGTCCAGCGTCCCTTTGCCCGAATCACTGCCTTGATCCTCCTCGGCAGGCTGTCGATCAGGTTTGCACACACCTCCGGCGGTATCTTGTCCCATTCCTCCTGCACCCTCTCCCACAGCTCCAGCATTCCCCTTGGCGGCTTTTCGTACTTCCCCAGCTGCCTTTTCAAGTATGCCCACAGGTGCTCAATTGGGTTAAGGTCCGGGGAGCACGACGGCCATTCCAGCACCGCGTACTCCTGCTCCCCAAGCCAGTCTTGGACCAGACGACACCTGTGCTTGGGATCATTGTCGTGCTGGAAAATGACCTCTGAGGGGGAAAGCTTGAAAAAATCGATGGTCTGTTTGAGCTCATCTTGCAAGATGCTGCGATACAGCGGCCCATCCATCCTGCCATCTATCTTGCACATGAACCCCGCCCCCTCATACGTCATGCAACCCCACACCATCACAGAACCGCCCCCATGCTTAACTGTCTGTTGGACTTGGTGGCTCCGAAGGCTGGTGCCCTCGCGAATCCAGGCGTACGCACGTCCGTCGGAGCAGTAGCGGTTAATCTTCGTCTCGTCAGACCAAATCACCCGCTTCCAGTCCTCCAGCGTCCAGTCGGCATGCGCCCGCGCGAAGTCGAGACGATCGCGGATGTTTTTCGGTGAGAGCCTGGGTTTCTTGGGCTGATGCACGGCGATCAGCCCCGCGGATCGTAAAGAGTTGCGGACCGTCTTCGAGTCTACGGCGAGATCGTGCTTCTCCAACAACATCTTGGCCGCGTCTGAAGAGCTTTTCGCCTCGCCGCTAGTAATCGCACGTATAACTCCGCGCTGGAGACGGGTTGTGATTAAGCGGGGGCGGCCGGCCGAAGGCATCGTAGGTCGCACCTCCTCGCGACTAGTCTCCTCAGCGAGTTTCATACCGTAATCGTGCACGGTGCTCTTGCCTATGCCAAGAAGTTTCCCTATTTTCCTAGTCGAATGCCCCGCACGCAACATGCTTCTGATCCTCGCGCGCTTCTTCTCATTTAACGGCTTCATAGCGATGCGGTCGTAGGCTCGCTTCCGGACTAACAACTAAGCTAGGAACTGGTGCGCGTGACGATGTACACACTGAGCGACGGGGGAAAATAGATCTACTCTTCCGCTCGGTAGGAAATGTCCACATCGACAGTCGAGTAGTAAATTTCAACCCCACTTTCCGTTAGTGTCACAATCGCGCCAAGCAAGAAACGGATGAAGCAGAACTCAAAAACCGAGTAACAGAATGGAAAAAAACGGGTGTTACTATTTTCGAAACATGTGTTGCATAACGATACGTTTCAAAGTGTTAAACATCCGGGCAATTTAATCCGCCACTGTATAGAGCCTTGGGCTCCTTACCTAATCAATCATTTCAACTCTATTTCTTACAGAGGTGGATGGGGTAAACCAAGAAAATGGCTGAAAAAGGATAAAAGACAAGGGTTGGTGCCTGGGCATGGTGTGAGGTGGATGAGGTGAACCAGGAAAATGGCACCTAATGGATAAAATACAAGGGCTGGTGCCCTGGCATGGGGTGCGGTGGATGTGGTGAACCAGGAAAATGGCTAAATATGGATAAAAGACAAGGGTTGATGCCTGGACGTGGTGTGAGGTGGATGAGGTGAACCTGGAAAATGGCTGAAATGGATAAAAGACAAGGGTTGGGGCCTGGGCATGGAGTGAGGTGGAGATGAGGTGAACCTAGAAAACGACTGAATGGGGTGAAGGAAAATGGCTGGTGCCCTGGCATGGGGTGAGTTTGATGAGTTAAACCACCGAAATTGTTGAAGAATGGTTTGGGGCTTGTGGGATGGGTGGCGCACGTACTCATGAGTGTCTTCTCGCATTTGGGCAAGGCTGGCTTCGGTGTGGCTGGGGGCTTGTATGTAGGTCTGATACCACCCAAGGAGATGGTTGAGTGCTTTGTGCCGTGCTAGAGAAAGCTTGCCCTTGACGATGAAAGTGCTAACATGTTTGGATAGAAAAGGGTGTGGAAGGGATGGCATAAGGCTTTGCACGAGGGCAAGCTCTTTGTCACGTATGGGACGGCTACTCAAGGTGAAAAAAAAATGGTGTGTTTTACTTTTCTTTACCGTATAAAACGGAATCGTATAAAACGGTCATTTAATACGATTAAAACGGTCAAAAGTGGTGTTTACTGACTGGTGCCAAAATATGGCCGTTTTATACAGTCGATTTTTTTATACGGCTGTAAAAAACGGAAGTTCGCTTTATATCGAGGAGGGTGAGGAGGGTGAGGAGGACTAGGGTGAGGAGGAGGGCGACTAGAGCGAGGAAGGGGAGGACTAGGGTGAGGAGGAGGAGGACAATTAGGAGGAGGAGCAGAGCCGGAGTAGAGTAGGACTAGGAGGAGGAGGGTGAAGGAAGGGCGAGAAGTACAAGGAGGACGAGGATGGCGTTTGAGATGCACGCCGGCTGTCGCCGCCACCAGGCCCTGTGTTTCGCAGCGATTTGTTTTTTAGTTTAGGGTAAAAAAAAAAAAAAAAAAAAAAAAAAAAAAAAAAAAAAAAAACCAACACATGGGAAAAAAAAACTCTAACAAAAAACGCCATCCTCGTAAAAACGGTAGATGTATTCTTACACGTAAATTTCAGCCCTCACTCTTTATAAATCTTGGCAATGCCCTTATCTGCGATCAGGACTGTCACCAGATGCTTCCATACCCCAATGTAAAAGACATGCAAAATGTTTGGCATCATGGATAGATGGGAGTTTCCCTACGGTGTCTTAGAAAACTTGAACAGACTGAGACAAATATGGGAGGGGCAGTAGGGATTGGAGGTCTGAACCGGGGGATGGTAATGGCCACACGACGAAACCAATTAAGGGAGGGGGGTAAGAGATTAGGGGGGGGGGGGGAAAGGGAGTACCTGCAAAATGTATACTGCATACTAAGCCCCTGAATTGCATGTCGAGCGGACCCAGTCACCATCCCAGCTCACTGGAATTGGGATGGTTGAGTATAGCTTGTTTTCATTCACGTCAGACAAAAGCTTGGACTGCCCGCACACAGTCCGAAGAAGGACGCCTCGGGTATCCATATGTCGTAGCTGCTGACTTGGTATGTAGTATGGGAGCACGGCTACTTTCACTTCAGGGACAACGTGTATCATACCCTGCATGTCTCGGGGAAGTCACCAATGTATGCATAGAGAAGTGGCCGTACCTTGCGTGGAACACCCCACGGGTCCAGCATATCGACCGGGCTGCAAGAAACAGGGAGCATGTCAAGGAGAGGACTTTGAGGTTGCATATCTAGCGCCCATGGCTGTTCTGGCCGCCCCATTCCTTTTCTTGCCTTTGCATTCTTACGAGAGAGAGAGAGAGAGAGAGAGAGAGAGAGAGAGAGAGAGAGAGAGAGAGAGAGAGAGAGAGAGAGAGAGAGAGAGAGAGAGAGAGAGAGAGAGAGAGAGAGAGAGAGAGAGAGAGAGAGAGAGAGAGAGAGAGAGAGAGAGAGAGAGAGAGAGAGGAGAGAGAGAGAGAGAGAGAGAGAGAGAGAGAAAGAGAGAGAGAGAGAGAGAGAGAGAGAGAGAGAGAGAGAGAGAGAGAGAGAGAGAGAGAGAGAGAGAGAGAGAGAGAGAGAGAGAGAGAGAGAGAGAGAGAGAGAGAGAGAGAGAGAATGAGAATCAGAGAGAGAGAGAGAGAGAGAGAGAGAGAGAGAGAGAGAGAGAGAGAGAGAGAGAGAGAGAGAGAGAGAGAGAGAGAGAGAGAGAGAAGGGGGGGGTGGGGGATTTTGTGATTGGGAGTTTGTGAGTGGGAGTTTGTGAGTTTATAACGGAGGGGCAGCTAAATGGAGCTCTACAATTACTTTTTGGATGCTTGATGGAGCTCGTGGAGAACAATTCCCAGCGATTTCTGGAACAACTCGACCTTTTGCGAAGCCCGCATGTGCTTGTCAGGTTCTTGCAATATGGCAAGAAGTACTTTCCCTGCATCGTGCCAACGTCGGTGCCACGGAATGTTGGCTGCAAATATGTACACGGGCCATATCCTGGTTCCCATCGTACCATCGAGCGTCGTCTGGTCACTTGCAAGGATCACTGGACATATGACTTCGCCATCCGGCACATTGGCCTGCTGGACGTGAAGCATCATTACGGGAACATGTTCCAGCCTTGGGGAAAGGCAGGTGGCATTACAATGCCGATATAGATCACACGCAAAAGACGTGTAGCATCTGGTCGCACGAGGGAGATAGGTAACCCAGATATCTGGCTTTCAACTAAATTCAGGGGACCGACTGGTGCAAGGCATGGAAAATCAGTTGCAGTAGACATTACAAGAAGGACATACACACCTGAGCTTCCATCCAGAAGCTTGCAGTGCTGGGCGATGTGAAAATGAGATTGCCGAGGGCATCTTTCTGCGGATTGGCCCACAGTTGGAACCCGGTTGAATTACTGGCATCTCCAAACAGACCCCGCAAAGCCTGGCAAATAATGGGCAGAGAATAATGGAGGGTACACTCCGACATCAGAGGCAGCAAATTCTGTGCGTGACTGCAACTCCGTAGAATAGTACAGAAACAAAGTAATACTTTCTCACAACGTGAGCATGCAATGCTTACAACCTGTACGGGGCTGGTATATTTAACATAGAATGGCCACTGCCAGCCATCGATATGCACCTCCGAAACACTGTATGTCCCCCCACCAAGCCCTAGGCTCTGACCATACTTGATGGTCGCCGTCATTGAGTGCCAGTCGGCGATTCTAGACAAGTTTAGATCATTAGCATGCAAGAACTTGAGAAGTCGACTGGTGTCAGGAGCCAACAACCAAGCCTCTGTTGTTGTGGCCAAGTGGTGCCCTGGATTGGCGGGCACGATCTTTGCCTGGGGGGTCTACAAATGTAGCATACGGCCCTATGAAAATACCTGACTTGAAGCTCCGTTCCTTAGCTAAGCGGCAGTCCTCATCCGTAGTCGTGTGTGATCGTAGCGGGCCACAACCTCGGAACGAACAGCCACACCATTCGCACATAATTTTACGGATTTCCATGCTTAAAGGTCGCATGGCATGTTGCTGTTGGCTATCGTGCGTTAAAGACCTAAGAGGGCACACTCGCGTGGCAAGAAGGACGACGATACCTACTAAGGGTAAAGTTATCAGACCGATCCATGACACCTCCATGGCTGAAGGCAAGAACCTATCTAAATCGCCATCCAATGGAATCGTGTGCTGTGAAATCGAGCTTCAAGATAGAAATTGCAAGCATAGAACATGCTCTGTATTGTCGCGGACATCGGGACTTCACTGTTGGGAGGACTAGGCCTGATATGAAGAAAGTATAGGGTGCAACCAACGTGGGTAAACACCCCACCCGTATGTCAAATACAGGGACGTTTCGTACTGGGATATAATGGAGTTAAGATTCCCAACAATGGATACGAGCCTAGCAGCTACTAAACTGTACAGCTCGTAATATCAAGTATCGACACGTCCAGAGCTCTGGGCAATGTCGAGGAGAAACCACGCCGCATAATGCGGCATGTATTTAGAGAACCTTCTAGATCCAGTCTCCCCCCCCACCCCCCCCACCTCTTCGAACGCCTCAACCGCTAAAACAGTGGCACGTATCCAGAGCCTCGATTTGGTCTGTTTAGCATGCGTGAGTCAGCTGCAGTGAACACCAACCACAGCGCGGAATCCTTACCTGCCCCAGACAGAAATTGAGCCAGAGGTAACAGCCACACTGCGTATTTGGTTACACCCAACACTGTAGTATTTGCATTTGTGGGCAACACTACTGCGCCAAACCCAATTCGCTTTGGGAGGAGTGCGACACAACAGTATGCACCCGCATTGTTTGTTTCGCCGACCATAAGCTCGTATTCCAATCTGACGTGCGGTGACGCAAGTAACACGACCCTTTGTGTCATGTGCTCATGGCGACACCTGATTTTTGTGCAGCCAACCCTGGTCTTCACACGAAGGGCACGGAAATTCTTTGTTATAGCGTAGCTTTGTAAGAAATAGAGTTGAAATGATTTATTAGGTAAGGAGCCCAAGGCTCTATAAGTACATGGCAAGGTGAGAGTGAATGGATGAAGGGGGAATTGGAGGGAATCCCCATTGGGATCTCCGGAATCTCCAATTGGGTATTGGAGATTGGGGGGATCACAATTGGGTGAGGTTGCGATTTGTCAGTACACCCCAACCCACTAGAACATTCATAACCTAAACTAGGATATAAAAGTACAAATACAAAAGTGGTATTTGCAGTCTATTTCTAACACACCCCCATAGACTGCAAACCCGATCAAGGAACACATAACCCCATGGAACGGAGAAGGCGATGGTGGTCAGCCTTGCCGAGAGCCTTGGTAAAGAGGTCGGCGAGGTTGCAATCTGAGGCGATGTACCGTACCGTCAGCTGGTCACTCTGAACAAGATCTCGGATGAAGAAATGACGAAGTTCGATGTGCTTGGTGAGGATGTGAGACTTGGTGGCTTGTAGATAGCGGAGGACCCTCTTGGCTGCAGACCAATGCGAGGCAGTGTAGCGTCCGGGGGAGACGTACCGAGAGAGGACACTAACCGGGTAAGCCAAGTCTGGTCGAGTGCACATCATGGCATACATGCGTGAACCGACTAGCTCAGGGTACGGGTCCTTGCAGGCGTCAGGAGAAGGAACTGGAGGGGCCGTGAGCTGATGCTGTAGTGGGAGTAGAGTGGAGAAAGAGTTACTGGAGTCCATGTCGAACCGCTTGAGAAGGTTGTCGATGTAGGACTCCTGGGAGAGGGTGATCGTGCAAGCCTGGCGGTCACGAGTGATCTCCATCCCCAGGTAGTTCTTGAGGTCACCAAGATCCTTCATGAGAAGGGCGGAGCTGAGAGCAGACTGGACAGCTGCCATGTCGGCTGGATCTCTGGCGGCTAGAATGAAGTCGTCGACGTAGACGAGGATGTAGAAGGGCTCGGAGGAGTGACGAACGAGGAGACTGGAATCTGAGGCAGAGGGATGGAAGTCAAGTGCGAGGAGGACTTCCTTCACCTTGTTGTGCCACTCACGAGGAGCCTGCTTGAGGCCATACACTGGGCGCTTCAGCTTCCACACTGTGTTGGCAGGGTAAGTGCCAGGAAACCCCGGTGGGCGTTCCATGTGAACATCCTCCTTCAGCTGGCCTTGGAGAAAGGCGGAGGAGGTGTCCATGGACTTGATCTCGAAGTTGCCGCGAGCGGCTATATCAAGAAGAGTGCGCACAGTCGGGAGCTTGGCCGTGGGCGAGAAGGTTTCGAAGAAGTCGAGATACTCCTTCTGGGTGAAACCCTTCGCCACGTATCGTGCCTTGAACATTGGAGCTTCGCCTGGGAGTTGTTTGACTCGGAAGATCCATTTTCTGCCGACGATGTTGACACCGGAAGGGGGAACAACATCGTCAAAGCTGTTGTTGCGAATGAACGCCTCGTTCTCCACATCCATTGCTGCCTTCCACTCCTTCTTATAAGGCCCCGAGAGAGCTTCCTCTTTTGTGCGAGGAGTCGGAATGGTCGGGTTCTCGGTGAAGTTGAGGGAAGGGCAGTCAGTAATGTCCGGGAAGATGTGAGAGAGAAATTGGCAGACCGCGTGAAGGTCAAACAGCTCCTCATGCCTGTCCTCCAGAAGTGCACGAGGGGGAATACGGATGGAGGGGACATCACCCCCGGCAGGAGGAGGCGGGGTGACCGAACACCGGATGGAGAAGGCGGCTGGTCCCCAGGCGAGAGGCGGAGCCGGTCCCTTGGAACGAGTGCGACTAGAGACCGGAAACGAAGGCGGCTGCGGTGGGACCGGAGGGACTGGGCACCTCCCGTAGGAGACTGGTGAGCCGGGCTCGACGCGCGGGGAAGGCGGAGCAGGAGGAGGTGCCGCTGCGGAGGATACTGGGGAGGCCGGGTGAGACACGCCGGACGGAGAAGGCCCCGGAGAAGGGGCAGCGGCCGGAGGTGGGGCATCGAAGTCTGCCCAAACAAGCGTCGGGGGAGGTGGAGGAGGCTCGCCCGTGGTCGCAGAGAGGAATGGGCGTGTCTCATCGAAGACGACATGTTGCTCCCACTGCTGATGTGCGCCTCCACATGTTGTTCCCTGGCACTGCCATGATTAATGAGACAATTTCGCTGTGTCCCGGCTCACAAAGCACCTCAGCCACAATAGAGTTCACCCTCGACAGTGGGGCCACTCACACGGTTCTCAAGGAAGAACACTCCTTCAAGCCATACGAGACACCAATCCGTCTACTAGGAGCAGACTCCAGTTTCACAACACACGCCAAGGGCTCCTCTACAGTTCCGTGCCCAGCTTTTCCTTCGGGCAGTGTCACCGGCATGTGTGTTCCCACACTACGCCACAATCTTGTGGCCCAACACGAGCTCCAACGGGCAGGCGTCACCATGATCTTCCCAGCACACTCGGATCACTGTGACCTCTTCGACCCTAAGTCCAACAAGCTCCTAGCACGCTTCACACTCAACAGTAGCAAGCTCTACACGCTGCGTTCACCTGCACCTCTCGCCGCCCTCTCCCAAGCGCAAGCTGCCAGCACCACTCCGTGTTCGTGTCGCAGCTTCGCCAACCCAACCATCCTCTACCACCATCGCTTGGGTCACTCCAACTTCCGTACACTTGCCGACATCGCTTCCAAGAAACTTCTTCTTGGCCTCCCGTCGGCGCTTCCTCCACCAACAGACTCACCTGCACCCACCTGCCTGGACTGCACCAAGAGCAAGCTCAGGCAGCAGCCGCATCCTTCCTCCCCATCCGTCGCAGCTGCTCCGCTGGACCTAGTGCACATGGATGTCTGGGGCCCAGCTCCAGTCGCATCCCGAGGCGGTCATCGGTACTTTCTTACACTAGTCGATGACCACTCGCGGAATGTTTCTGTGCACCTCCTGCATACCAAGGCGGAGGCACCTGATGTCATCATGGCGTGGGTGCGCCAGGTTCAAGTCACGTTCGGCACTCCTCTGAAGTGCCTCCATTCTGATGGCGGGGGAGAATTTCGCAATGGCAAACTCGATAACTTCTGTGCGGCCCAAGGGATTCGGCAAACCTTCACGCTCCCCGAAAGCCCACAGCAGAACGGCATTGCAGAGAGCCACAACCACACCTTGGTTCAGATCGCTCGCTGCCTCCTCAGTCACGCCAACGCACCACGGTCACTCTGGGGATATGCCCTCTTCCATGCGGCACTCCTCTACAATCTTTATCCGCATCCCCACCGGCCCGACACCACACCTACCGCTCTCTGGCTTGGGGTTACGCCTTCCGCCCGCTCTCTACGCGTCTGGGGGTGTACCGCGTATGTGTTGCTAAGCCCCCACACGCGCAGGAAGCAAGGTGGCAAGCTTGGTCCCAAAACCCAGATCTGCATGTACCTGGGGCACAACTCTGACTCCCCAGACTACTTATTCCTCAACCCAATCACCAGACAGCTAATTCGCAGCCGTGATGTCGTCTTCGATGAGACACGCCCATTCCACTCTGCGACCACGGGCGATCCTCCTCCACCTCCCCCGACGCTTGTTTGGGCAGACTTCGATGCCCCACCTCCGGCCGCTGCCCCTTCTCCAGGGCCTTCTCCGTCCGGCGTGTCTCACCCGGCCTCCCCAGTATCCTCCGCAGCGGCACCTCCTCCTGCTCCGCCTTCCCCGCGCGTCGAGCCCGGCTCACCAGTCTCCTACCGGAGGCGCCCAGTCCCTCCGGTCCCACCGCAGCCGCCTTCGTCTCCGGTCTCTAGTCGCACTCGTTCCAAGGGACCGGCTCCGCCTCTCGCCTGGGGACCAGCCGCCTTCTCCATCCGGTGTTCGGTCACCCCGCCTCCTCCTGCCGGGGGTGATGTCCCCTCCATCCGTATTCCCCCCGTGCACTTCTGGAGGACAGGCATGAGGAGCTGTTTGACCTTCACGCGGTCTGCCAATTTCTCTCTCACATCTTCCCGGACATTACTGACTGCCCTTTCCTCAACTTCACCGAGAACCCGACCATTCCGACTCCTCGCACAAAAGAGGAAGCTCTCTCGGGGCCTTATAAGAAGGAGTGGAAGGCAGCAATGGATGTGGAGAACGAGGCATTCATTCGCAACAACCGCTTTGACGATGTCGTTCCCCCTTCCGGTGTCAACATCGTCGGCGGAAAATGGATCTTCCGAGTCAAACAACTCCCAGGCGAAGCTCCATTGTTCAAGGCACGATACGTGGCGAAGGGTTTCACCCAGAAGGAGTATCTCTACTTCTTCGAAACCTTCTCGCCCACGGCCAAGCTCCCGACTGTGCGCACTCTTCTTGATATAGCCGCTCGCGGCAACTTCAAGATCAAGTCCATGGACGCTTCCTCCGCCTTTCTCCTAGGCCAGCTCAAAGAGGATGTTCACATGGAACGCCGACCGGGGTTTCCTGGCACTTACCCTGCCAAGACAGTGTGGAAGCTGAAGCGCCCAGTGTATGGCCTCAAGCAGGCTCCTCGTGAGTGGCACAACAAGGTGAAGGAAGTCCTCCTCGCACTTGACTTCCATCCATCTGCCTCAGATTCCAGTCTCTTCGTTCGTCACTCCTCCGAGCCCTTCTACATCCTCGTCTATGTTGGTTAGAGAAGGCTATAAGCAGATGATTCAATGGCTCCTTGGAAATTTCTGCAGCACTTCGTTATGACGCCCAGAAAACTCGTGACCTTCGATGAAACGATCTGAAAATCAGATATGTTGTAGCTTGCAGCATCAGCTTTCCAATGAAAGTTGAATCACTCGATTCCGTAGCTTAAGGAGCGAGCTATGACGTTTGGGGGTAATCTGCCCTATGAGAAGTTGACAATCCTCAGAGTTACTATGATTGAAGCTTACAAGTTCAGAGGCATGATAGAAAAGACATTGAAGCACAGTTGGAAGGTAGGGATGGAAGGGAAGGATGAAAGGGAAGGACCCTGGAGGCCCATGGTCAAGAACATGACAAGAGTCAAAGTCTTGACTCCCCATCCTCAGGTTCAGCCAGCCTGGCAAGACAAAATTCACACTGTACCAGGTTGGCCTCCAAACCCCAAATGCTGCAGCTGCAGGGTGGGGACAAAAGTCCCACACATGCTGGTCCCTCCTCGTTATAGGGCTCTCCAACTTTGGTGTAGCAGCTGACAAGGACTTCCAATGAGTTGTAACAAATCCATCAAACATTTCTTCGTAACTTCTTCATATGTGCTCCGATTCCAACAATTCTTGGCTCGTTGGAATGTGCTCGATGTCGTGCACAATCCAAGCACATCTGCACAAGCACAAGATGAACATGCAAAGACATGCAAACCCAACAAACCATACAAACAATGTAGCACACAAAACACATGCAACGAAATGATGCGAACAGACGACAGGATGACGTGCAAACTAATATGCACCAACAGTCTACGTCGAGGACTTCATTCTAGCCGCCAGAGATCCAGCCGACATGGCAGCTGTCCAGTCTGCTCTCAGCTCCGCCCTTCTCATGAAGGATCTTGGTGACCTCAAGAACTACCTGGGGATGGAGATCACTCGTGACCGCCAGGCTTGCACGATCACCCTCTCCCAGGAGTCCTACATCGACAACCTTCTCAAGCGGTTCGACATGGACTCCAGTAACTCTGTCTCCACTCAACTCCCACTACAGCATCAGCACACGCCCCCTCCAGTTCCTTCTCCTGACGCCTGCAAGGACCCGTACCCTGAGCTAGTCGGTTCAATCATGTATGCCATGATGTACATTCGACCAGACTTGGCTTACCCGGTTAGTGTCCTATCTCCTCGATGACTTAGGCTACCCCCAGCATACGCCCACCCTGTGGTGTAAGAATGAGAGTGCCATTCACCTCACCAAGGATCCTGTGTTCCACTCTCGTACCAAGCATATCGAACTTCGTCATTTCTTCATCCGAGATCTTGTTCAGAGTGACCAGCTGACGGTACGGTACATCGCCTCAGATTGCAACCTCGCCGACCTCTTTACCAAGGCTCTCGGCAAGGCTGACCACCATCGCCTTCTCCGTTCCATGGGGCTATGTGCTCCTTGACCGGGTTTGCAGTCTATGGGGGTGTGTTAGAAATAGACTGCAAATACCACTTTTGTATTTGTACTTTTACATCCTAGTTTAGGTTATGAATGTTCTAGTGGGTTGGGGTGTACTCACAAATCCCAACCTCACCCAATTGTGATCCCCCCAATCTCCAATTACCCAATTGGAGATTCCGGAGATCCCAATGGGGATTCCCTCCAATTCCCCCTTCATCCATTCACTCTCACCTTGCTATGTACTTATAGAGCCTTGGGCTCCTTTCCTAATTAATCATTTCAACTCTATTTCTTACACCCATGAAGACACTAATGACCGCACCATCGGCCTTCTCCCAATTCTTGTACTTGAGCAGTGCAGCAGCATAAACTGCTTCGGCGGCGGCATTAGCTGGATCGGCGGACCTCTCGGGTTGAGGAGGCTCTTTGCCGTCACCAATGTTGAGAAGGACGTCGGTGAGCTCGAGCCCCTTCACCTCGCGACTGAGGAGGTGCTTGTCGACACCATAGCACCAAGCCTTGTAGTTGGAGCATGTGCTGTCCGGCTCGAGACGAAGGAGCGGGATCGGGTTGGCGAGTGAAGTGGTTGAGTAAGCCATTGTCGGTGTGCAGCGCGGCACTTCTGGAAATTGGTCGACGAGAATTGCTGAAAATCACTCTGACGGCTGTATCAAAATGCCGCTAAGTAGGAAATGGCGTCGGCGAAAATTCGTTAAAACGCCGACTTGAAACTGAATCAGAGCCTATGTCTATCCCCGGACCCACACACCCCCCCACACACCCCCAGGCCCTGTCCCGCAGCTACACAGCTCCGCAACCAGCTCCGCAACCAGCTCCGCTCCGCTTCAACCTGTGTACCTGCTCTTGCTTGATGCGAGACGTTCGTGGAGGCGATTTCGCGAGGGGAGTTCGCCTATTCTGGCGGGGTCTGAGGGGAAACTCGAGAACGAGTTTTAAGAGATGGTCGAAATTGAGATTCGACCAAGGAGAACCGAGGAGGAAATCGACGATGAGAAGCGTGAACGCTTCAGAGATGAGAAATTCAACGAGGTCGAGTGCGAAGGCGGTCGACGATGAGAGGCGCGACTGCAGACTGCAGCACGTCGAAATTCCGACGACTCGAAACGAATGTCGCGACGATGAAGTGCGCGTAGCGCGGGCACGTTAAGATTAGGACCTTGATCCGCGTGTGCGGATAGGTCGCTCTGATACCATGTAAGAAATAGAGTTGAAATGATTGATTAGGTAAGGAGCCCAAGACTCTTTAAGTACATGGCAAGGTGAGAGAGAATGGATGAAGGGGGAATTGGAGGGAATCCCCATTGGGATCTCCGGAATCTCCCAATTGGGTAATTGGAGATTGTGGGGATCACAATTGGGTGAGGTTGGGATTTGTGAGTACACCCCAACCCACTAGAACATTCATAACTTAAACTATGATATAAAGTACAAATACAAAAGTAGTATTTGCAGTCTATTTCTAACAAGCTTGTCGTTCACGTGTTTCGCCACGTAACCAGATTGCACTGTGCACGCGTCGTGAGCGTGCATCGGCAAATCCAAATTTGGACCAAGATCGTCCAGCGTCTCGGGCACCTATTTCAGCTCGAGCAATGTCAGATGGAAAATCAGGTTCGTGGATTCTCCACATTTTCAGTAACGTAGCTACCAGGCCAGGTTTTATGAAGAAAAGCAGAGAAGCTATGGCTGAGATTGGAAAGCGCAAACGGAGCTCAGAGTCTAACTCCAGAAGAACCGGGACGATACTCCAGCAAATGTTCGACTGCAGACATAGGGAAATATCCGCACTACTAATACAACGGGAGTTTCTGAGGTGCCTTTCTCAGGATGTGGAACCAACACCTAAACTTCTTTTGCCAGCACTAGAGCCATTCAGTGTCTCTGACATTGGAAGCGCGTCAGAGAAACGTTCTCGCTGTGAAAATCATGCAAGGAGGATTCGCACCAGGCAAGGGCAAGCTAACTTGGATTTCATAGACAAGCAAATTGCAAACGCCTTGTATGCTAGGAGGACCTGGTGTGGCTGTGGCAGCCATGGCGGCGGTGCCAAAGCCAAGCTGCTGCTGCTGCCATGCAGATGCTGCGGCTGCGGCTCCTGCAGCTGCGGCTGCAGCCTGACCACCAGAGCCCCACTGCTGCTGCTGCTGCAGCAGCTGCTGCTGCTGGAAGCGGCGAAACTGCTGCAGCTCCTGGGGAGTTAGGGGGTCAGCGACAGAGGAGGAGGAGGAGGAGGAGAGCTGAAGATGAGAGGGGAGGAAAGACGGAAGAGTTTTGACATCCTGGAGAGAGGGGCGGGGATCCATGGCAGACCAGCGTGGGGGTGTGCCAGTGTTGCCGCGCTCGAACCAGGCGTCATCATACGCCTTGAAGCAGGTCGCGGGGGGATGGTTGGTTTGGGTGCAGCGCTCACCCGCCCTGGGACCAAAACGGCGAAGATAGGAACATGGGGGGAGAGTGCCAGGGCGGCCACCACGGCTACCAGATGAGCCACTACTGCCTCCACCACCACCACTGCTGCCACTTTCGACCCCGCCACCACCGCCGCCGGCTCCGCTGCCCCCACAACCGCCACCTCCACCCCCTCCCTGAGGGTTGGTGCGGCCGCCACGTGGGCGCCCGCCACGACGCGGCTGTGTGACTGCAAGCTGGGGGTTTTGGGACTCGGTGGAGTTCAGGCCGGAGGGGGGGGTTGAGAGAAGGCGGGCCTCAGCGTCAATGATCCATTGGACCACAGTGTCAAGGGAGGCGCGGGGCTGAGCCTCAGTGAAGGCGATGACGCGCACTTCATATTGAGGGGAGAGGCCTTCGAGGAGACGGTAGATCTGAAGGTTGGGGGGGAGATTAGTCTGGCGAGCCTCAAGGCGGGAGGCAAGGTCCAGGAGACGGCTGGTGTAGTCAACGGCGCCAGCACTATGTTCGATCGTGATGCTGAAGTATTCCTTGAAGAGCGGTCCGACAGCATCGAAGTCGGTGCGTTCGAACATTGCCTCAAGCTCGAGCCAGATCTGGCGGGAGCCGATGCGACGTGCCTGGAAGTTGCGCATGAGCGCAGACGGGATGGCAAGGAGAAGGGCACCAGTAGCACGGCTGTCCGCCTCGAGCCAGGCGCGACGACGCTCAGCAAATCGCGCAGAGTCAGCGGCATAAGCGGCGGCGGTAGCGGCATGCTGGGTGCGGAGGGTTGCCGACCGCTCGTGTTCCTCCAACACGATCAGGTAATCAGTATGGAGCACGAGGAACTCACGACGCTGAGTAAGGAAGAGCTGCTCAACTTCAGCGGTGGCAGCGCGAGTGCTGGTGCCAACGGGTACCATGGGGGGCGGAGGTTCCTCGCCGGGATGGGGAATGAGAGGGGGGGGATCGCCAGGGTGAGGCGGCGGGTCCCCAAGGTCGCCCTCTGGGAGACCAAGCATGATGTCCAGGAGGCGGAACGGCAGGACATAAGCACTGCCGAGGACGCGGTGGAGGCTGCCGACGAAGGAATACCAGTTGGTTGCTGAGTTGTCGGCAGCGCGCACGAGATGATCGAGGGTCGAGACGTCGACGGGAGGGGGAAAGGATGCCATTGGTGACACGGAGTGGGAGGAAGGCGACGGCGGGTGGACCCGCGGTGGCCGGGAGGGAGCGGCGGCGGGTAGGACCCGCAGCGGCTCAAAGAGGAGGGGAGGATGGGGATGGCTGTAGATACTGCTGCTGCTGCTGCTGCTGCTGCTGCTGCTGCTGCTGCTGCTGCTGGTGCTGCTGCTGCTTCTTCTGCTGCTGCTGCTGCTGCTGCTGCTGTTGCTGTTGCTGCTGCTGCCGCTGCTGCTGCTGCCACTGCTGCTGCTGCCGCTGTTGCTGCTGCTGCTGCTGCTGCTCCTTCAGCTGCTGCTGCTGCTGCTGCTACTGCTGCTGCTGCTGCTGCTGCTGAGTCTGCTGCTCCTTCTGGTGCTGCTGCTGCTTCTGCTGCTGCTGCTACGGCTGCAGCAGTGGTAAGGCGGCGATGAGCAGGTGCAGGTGAGGAGGCAAAAGATGGGGAAAGATGGCAGTTAGCTGATGAAAATAGGACTTGGTAGAAATTTCAGTAGCACTTCGTGATCACATCCAGGAAAGTGTGCAAACTTCGGAAAGCGATATCTGACAATCCAAGCGATGAAACAGTTCGAAATTTTACGACGTTTTAGCTGACACCAAGAGCGTTCTTTTGCAAGTCAAATCACTCAATTCTGTCAACTATCGAGCGAGCTATGGCGTTTGGCGCATTGGGGGTTTTTGAAAATCCACCCAACAGAAAACTAGTTGAGAGGCGGCGGCTAGGAGTCTAGCAGCGGCGATGGAGGGGACGGCAATGAGGTGCACGTCGGAAGGGGACGGGGCGGAAGCGTGGGGAAGGATCGGGATTTAAAAGTTGGCGTGAGCCATTATTGCTCTATACCATGTTAGAAACAGAAAGGTTCAGTTTATTGATGAAGCAAAGGCATTACATAGGAAGAGAGGGATGAGCTAGGAAGGGAAGGTTGGAAGGGAAAGGGGGGTTAGGACCAATCACAAGGGAGGGAGGATCCTTCCAAATGTGGTTGACCACCAGTTGGAGGTGGTCCAAGTGTGGTGTACCACCAGTGGTTTAGCCAACCCACTTGTGGTGCCCCCACAATTGTGGTCCTTGTGTTTGGGGGCTCCAACCACAATTGGGTTGGATTGACACCCCAACACAGGTGTACACCCAACTAGGGATGTAAACACAATATACACAACTAGCATAGCATGGTATATTCTAACACTATGGACTAGAGGGCAGTGAAAAAACCGATTCTGATCGATTCATGGCCATCATAAAGGAGTACCGGTCCATCAACTTCGCTGCAACCACCAGGGACGATATCGTAAAACCGACGCCGTATGATGGTGATTTTCGTGAATTTCTCTTGCTCTTAGCCCATGCTGAGGGATATGTGGTAAGTAAGCTCCTGCATATTCAGCTGCTTCGAAGAGATATTACTTCCACATCTGAAGCGGTTGTGCCTCTTTGTTTAGGTTGAAGGTGGTGATTATGATCAGAATGGAGCTGATGACGTGGTCTATCTTCCCGCTGCAGAAGAACACCGTCGGACTAGCAACGTTCCAGGCCCGTGCCCCTACTTGTAAGCACGATTAGTGTTCTCTTGCAGGTTCTTTTTCATAGGGACTCACTAACCTCGGAGACCACTTCTTGTTCCCTTTCACAGAGATGGGCTTGTGGGGCCGGATGGTTACGGCATCCCTTTAGATGCACTTGCACATGCGCTGGGCCTACTCACTCCATGGGAAGCAAAGCCGACCCTACAATCACTACACCCTGTTCTTGGCAAACCGAACGCAGTTTATTGCATATCTGCCCCTACCGAGTTCCCGTGTCTCAAGCAGCAATCGTTTTGGACGAAAGGATTCGAGACATACTCATTGGATGATGAATTTACTCCACCTTCCAAGAATCAGCCTCCGGGCTTTAGGAAAGTTATGCCAACACGTAGATGGTATTAGGTCTATCAACAAGGCTGCATAACTTTCACATTGCCTTTTGTTGCAGGGTGCCTTGCGACGTGTGACCTTTTGAATGTAAATTGTACTTTTTGAATAACCCCCTGTTTGATGAAATTTGATACCATTACCCAACTGCCTAATGTCAATCCTAGGTGACCAGGCTGCACATGATACACTTTGTTGAGCATATCACAGCACGTGCTTCCATGTCACATGGACGTGGTCTGGCTTCACATGCTCAAAACAGTTGCCCCTCATAATTATCAGCTGACTCTACTCGGCTGGCCTGGCACCAGGAGTGTGAACGTTGTCCAGCAGGGCATATGTAGCTTTCTTGGATTGCAATCCAGTCTTGCTGTTTCTAAAGGCACGCCTCTAGTGCCTTCTGGAATGGCACTCACCCTACTACGTTCATAGGCTCAGATTTTGCTCATTCTTGCATGACACATCCCCTTTTTATTTGCAAACTCTATATTAGTGCTTTCTTGAAAGACACATCAGTCGTGCTTTCTTGATAAGCTCGTCCCTATGTAGGTGTTTATGACACAGATATAAACTGTCTAACTTCCGTCTCTGGCCAATCACGCTAGCTCGTTAGATTGCGCAGCCCGTTATCCCTCTTTATAGGTGCAGCCCGCATACTTTCCCGTGTAGACTGCGTAGGCTAGCAACTCTTTTGGATGAGAGGCTCTGGCTCGGTTGGCTGTTCGGCACCATGTCCACATCATGGTGATCACCACGACAAGGAGCCGGCCGTTCCACCAAGTGGGGTGACTACGAGGTCTATGAGTTACCATCAAGCGGGCACGCTGTACGCACCGAGCGTGCGGGACCAGCAGATTCGTCAGAGAGCTTCCATGGGAGGGAGTCAGGTTACATGTCCTTCACAAGTGAACTCGAAGGGCACGGTATGGCATCAGAAGACGAGATGGGCTCAACAGGAGATGATGAGGACGAGATGACGGCAGGTAAGTGAACAGGGTAGACACGCTAGAGTGGGTCGGAGAGGGTTGAGAAGGAGAGGTAGGGTGGGGTGTGTTGGGGGGTGGGCAGGAAAAGGGGGGAGGAAGGGGGGGGGGGGGAGGAAGGGGGGGGAGGAAGGGGGGGGGGGGAGGAAGGGGGGGGGGGGAGGATTGGCAGCGTTGTTTTTTAACACCCTGAAGGGATTCGTGTGTAAGAATGTATATTATATGCATCGTATTGCCGAGCTTTGTGCGGCGTGCTGTGACTTGCACACTAAGCTGCCCCCTCTTAGATTGCCTCCCTTGGCCCCCATGTTTCTCACCAGTTGGGACACCACCAAGGAATGAGCGTCCTTTGGCTGAGACGACTGCCTGCACCTCTCCTCCAGGCACTCCAATACAGACACACTTCACAGGGGACCTGGCAGTGGCAGCAGCAGCTGCAACTGCCGCAAGGGAAAAGCGTCATGCGAAACCAAGTAAACAGGGAGCGCATAAGCATGCACCTGCACGTGAACCTGCCCATACCAAGCGTGGTGGCCGTACGCAAATCACCCAACCCCCGAGATTCGTGCAGCTATAGCAAGAAAAATGAGGCATAAAAAAACGTTTGCGGGAGTCACAGGCGAGGTGACCAGAATCGCGGGTCACCATGGTGTGAAGCCACATGGGCATCGGCGCCACAAGGCAAGTGGGCTGCACACCTCACCGACTCCGGGTGATGGAGCTGGCATGCCATCGCAGCAGCCAACGAATCCCAACCATCGTCCATTGCCGGCCGCTGCGCAAGGGCAGTCGATTGTGAGCTGCATCGTCGGGGTGGCACTCATTGGCTTTGGGATGTCAACAGGATGCACACCAAATAGCGTGATAGGATGGAATCCGCTCTAAAGACCATACCCAATATGTACTCAGGATTTAAGGTGTGTAGTTACGCTACTTCTTCCCTTGCACCTGCCCTCTTGCAGCTTGGAACCAGCACCTGCCCTCTTGCACCATGCCACCAACACCTGCCCTCTTGCACCATGCCACTGGCACCTGCCCTCTTGCACCATGCCACCAGCACCTGCCCTCTTACACCTTGCACCGGCACCTGCCCAATTGCACCTTGGAGCCAGCACCTACCCTCTTGCACCATGCCACCAGCACCCGCCCTCTTGCACCTTGCCACCAGCACATTCGCTCGTGCACCTGCCACTGGCACCTGCCCTCTTGCCACCATGCCACCAGCACCTGCACTCTTGCCCCATGCCACCAGCACCCGCCCTCTTGCACCTCGCCACCAGCACATGCGCTCTTGCACCTGCCACCGGCACCTGCCCTCTTGCACCACGCCACCAGCACCTGCCCTCTTGCACCTCGCCACCAGCACCTGCCGCCTTGCACCTTGCGCACGTGCACCTGCTCTCCTGCACCTTGCCACCATATGTCCTCTTGAACCTTGCCACCAGCACCTGCCTCTTGCACCTTGCCACCAGCACCTGCCCTCTTGCACCTTGGAGCCAGCACCTGCCCCCCTGCACCTCTTCCCCTAAACCCTGCCCTTCTTGGCACCTGGCCACGTGCACCTGCCCTCTTGCACATTGCCACTTGCATTTGCCCTCTTGTTACCTTGGGGCCAGCTCCTGACCTCTAGCACCTTGCCACCGGCACATGCCCCTCTTGCATCTTGTTCACGAGCACCCGCCCACTTGCACCTTGCCACCAGCACATGCGCTCTTGCACCATGCATCCGACACCTGCCCTCTTGCACCATGCCACCAGCACCCGCCCTCTTGCACCTTGCCACCAGCACCTGCCTTCCCCATGGCCATGCCCTTGCAGCCAGGCTCTTGAATGCAGCTTCCATACTACGTGCCAACCTTGTCCCCATACGTCCGTGATCTCCACGACATTGGTTCTGCGGTCACCTAGGGTGGTTATTTTACTCTTCACCCTCCCCTCCCCCAACGCTCCATGCCCTTCCTGTGTGGCTGGTGGTGACAACACCACCGGCCATGGCAGCAGGGCTTATGCCACGGCCATTCGTGCCTCATGCATCGTTCCTTCTCAATCGAGCATGGACAATGCGGGTCTCACCCCCGCCTCTCCCACCCCTGGTGCCTCGCATTTGCCCTTCCCACTCTTCCCTTTCCCTTTCCCACTCCCCCCTTTCACTCCGTACTCCTCCACCCTGTTCACCTTGCCGTGGTCTTTCCCACCTGGTTTCTGCATATCCCGCCCTAGCATTCCCTTACAGTTTTGCTCAGGTCCTGCATTCCTCACACTCTTGTGCCTTCTCTCTTATAATGTGCTCTTGTTTTAGACATTGTGCAAGGACACTATCAGCATAATGCTATTTGAGCTTGAGGACGAGGACATGACAATGTGGCCAGGAGATCCAGTTGTTGAGGCTGCGATGCTCAAGGCGCTTTCCTTTCAGGATCCGGAGCTGAAGGTCAAGGTTCACATGGTGTGGAACAACGATAGACTGCGCAGGCTGTGGCTCACTAGGAAGCTGCAGGTTTTAAGGTGTAAATTACACAAGCAAGGAAGAACATGTTGGTTAGAGAAGGCTAGAAGCAGATGATTCAATGGCTCCTTGGAAATTTCTGCAGCACTTCGTTATGACGCCCAGAAAACTCGCGACCTTCGAAAAGCTATATCCAAAACTCCAATCGATGAAACGATCTGAAAATCGGATATGTTATAGCTTGCAGCGTCAGCTTTCCACTGAAAGTTGAATCACTGATTCCGTAGCTTATCGAGTGAGCTATGGCGTTTGGCGCACTGGGGGGTAATCTGCCCTAGGAGAATTGACAGTCCTCAGAGTCACTATAATTGAAGCTTACAAGTTCAGACATGATGGAAAAGATTGAAGCCAGTTGGAAGGTGGGGTAGGAAGGGAAAGGATGCAAGGGAAGGACCTGGAGGCCCATGGTCAAGAACATGACAAGAGTCCAAAGTCTTGACTCCCCATCCTTCAGGTTCAGCCAGCTGGCAAGACAAATTCACACTGTGCCAGGTTGGCCTCCAAACCCCAATGCTGCAGCTGCAAGGTGGGGACAAAGTCCACACATGCTGGTCCCTCCTCGTTATAGGGCTCTCCAACTTTGGTGTAGCAGCTGCAAGGACTTCCAATGAGTTGTAACAAATCCATCAAACATTTCTTCATAACTTCTTCATTATGTGCTCCGATTCCAACAATTCTTGGCTCGTTGGAATGTGCTCGATGTCATGCACAATCCAAGCACCATCTGCACAAGCCACAAGATGAACATGCAAGACATGCAAACAACAAACCATACAAACAAGTAGCACACAAACACATGCAACGAAATGATGCGAACAGACGACAGGATGACGTGCAAACGAATATGCACCAACACACTCCCCCTCAGCTGTCGGCTTGTTTCGCCGTCTCTAGTTCAAGGACATTCCCGCCATCTCGCACAGCGCCAGTGTGGCTCTTCAGCTAGCGCTTGGTAAGGAAGTCGGCTGGCTGTTGCTGAGTTTTCACGTAGATCGGATCCAGTGTCCCAAGCTTCACCTCCTTCCGCAGCCAATGCCACTTGATCCTCATGTGCTTGTTCAACCCATGAAGAACTGCATTGCGTGCCATGGCAATGGCTCCCTTGCTGTCACTGAACAGAGGTGTCGCACAAGTCTGTTCATGGCCGATCTCCTTCAAGAGCCTCCTTAGCCAAATGATTTCTTTTGCCGCATGAAACATCGCCATGTACTCAGATTCCACTGAAGATAGTGCCGTTTCAGACTGCTTCTTGGACCTCCAACTTACAGGCCCACCTCCCACCATGGAGATGTATCCACCAACTGATGATGAATCCTCATGCTCAGAAGCCAACGTGGCATCAGCAAAACAGGAAAGGAACACCTTTCCTTCTCCGAGCTGCTCCCCCTTCTCTTTGAGACTTCAACTCCTTTCTGACTGAGTTGAGCAGAGGCTGAATACTGTACTCCCACTGTAGGGTATGACTTGAGGTAGCGCACCACTCTCTCCGCTGCACCACACTGCTCTTCTGTTGGATTTTGCACTACTCGAGCCAGCTGTCCCACAGCAAAGCTGATGTCAGGCCGAGTATGCACAGCAGCGTAGAGTAGGCTCCCGACCATGGATTGGAATTGCCTCTGGTCTTCACACTCAACTCCTTCTCCTTCAGCTGCCTTTATGAGTTTGAACTCGGAAGGCAAAGGTGTAACCACTTCCCGTTCTTCCTGCAGAGAGTACTTCTCAGCCAAGGTGTTGATGTACTGTCCCTGATGCAGTTTGAGCCAGCCACGTTCAGTATCCCGCTCAATGTGCATTCCCAGGTAGTACCTTGCCTCTCCAAGTGACTTGCACTTGAACTGCTCTGTGAGCTTCTGCTGCACCCCATCGATCTCCTTGTCACTGCTGCTGAAGAGCAGGATGTCATCCACGTACACCAGCAGAAGCACAAGCGACTCCCCCTCGCCATCAGGAATAGGCTCTCGTCGCATGCACTCGCACGGAATCCAATCCCTTCCAGTGCACTGGCCAGCCTGTTGTACCAGCATCTCGGGGCCTGCTTCAAGCCATAGATGGCCTTGTTAAGTTTGCAGACACGACCGGTTCCATCCTCATAGCCAGGTGGTTGAACCATGTACTCCTCCTCTTCCACAATGCCGTACAGAAAAGCGGTTACGATGTCCATCTGCTTCACCTTCCATTTGCGCACAGCAGCTACCGCCAGCAGCACACGTAGCGTTGGAGACTTAGCAGTTGGGGCAAACACTTCTTTGTAATCTTCCTTCTCTTTCTGCTGAAACCCCTTTGCCACCAGCCTGCTCTTGTAAACTGATGGCTCTCCTTTCTCATCCGTCTTGATTTTTGCCAGCCACTTGCACTGTATTGCCTTCTTCCCATTTGGCAAGTACACCAGGTCCCATGTGTGATTCTCCATCTGGCTGTTGTACTCTGCATCTCTTGAAACGAGCCACTTCCCCCGTTGAGGCCGGCTAGCGCATGATCCATGCTCGGAGGTTGTATTGGTGCGTAAAAGCAGTATGCAGGCTCCTCGCATCTGACTCTTGGTCATCACCCAAGAACAGCACTGTATCTTCGCCTTGAGCCTGTTCCTGCTGCTCAGTTGTGGCTCCTCCACTTGTAGAGCTCAGCAGCTTTCTGTTGCCATTCTGGTACGTGCAGGGTAGATGGTTGGATTTACCCATTCTTTCACCTTCACCCAATCCTTTTCCCCCCACCAATCTGTTTCCTTCGCTTTGGCAGACTTGGTGTTTTGGAAGCCTCTTGCTGCTGCTGCTCCGGATCCTTGACTTCAGCATCAGCTGCAATATCCTCATTGCTGCCTTCATCAGTACCGCTTGCCGTTGGCGCAGTGACTTCGCTGTCCTCAGGTTCGGACAAATCGAAGTGCATAGTGATCTCTTCCAGCTGCTGGGTGACCCTTGCCTCCGGCTGCTTCTCCCACTTGCCATACATGATGTTCTCCACAAATTTGACATCCCGACTGTCAAACAGCACATTCTTTGAGGGCTCCTAGAGTAGCCACCCCTTGCTCTCTGCCGCAAGCCCAAGGTGCACACACCACAGTGCAGATGCTCCAAGCTTTGTCCTGTACGGTTTAGGGACATGCGCCACTGCCATGCATCCGAACACTCTGAGCATGTCCACTGGAGGCTTCTTTCCAAGCCACCTCTCCAGCGGCACCCACATATCATCAGCCACCTTTGTGAGTACGCGGTTCCTTGCCACTGTAGCATGCCTCACCGCATGAGGCCACATGGAGTTCCCCAGCCCTGATTCGATCAGCAGCGCTCGCGCAGTTTCCAGGATGGTCCTATTAGCCCTCTCAGCAACGCCATTTGACTGAGGGGTATAGGACGTCGTTAGCTGATGCTCAATGCCTTGTTTCTTGAGCCACGCAGTCAGATCTCCTCCTAGGAAACTCTCCACCTCGGTCGGTTCTGATGCTCTTGCATGGGTGCCCAGATTGTCGCTCGACGAACGGCAGCCAGTCATCTCGTATTGTTGAGGCAGCATGATCCTTCTGCTTCAACGGTATGCCCACATCAGCCGACTCCAGTCATCAACTATTGTCAGGAAGTACCTTTCCCCCTTACTTCCTCGAACTGGAAAAGGTCCTACCAGGTCCATGTGCACCAGTTCCAGTGCTGCCTTGCTTTTCCCAGCTACGCCGTGAAAGGGGAACCGTGTGAACTTGCTCAGCAGACACGTCTCGCACTTGGTATCATTTGGTTGCCCAGAAAGCTTCAGCCCCTTTACTGCTTCTTCCTTATGCAGTTGCTGCAGCAATGGCATAGCCACATGCCCTAGACGCCTGTGTGCGGTTTCCCAATCAGTCTCCCCCGACCTTGCAGAAACCGTCACTCCTGCAGCACTAACTGCATTGCACTCCCCCTGGACTCCAGATCCCGCCTTTACTGCTCCCAACTCCTTCTTTGTTGATTCCCATATCAGCGCAGGGATCTGCCACATGGATCTGAAGACATCTCTGCTTTCGTGTAAATCCCATAACACACGATCTCCTCGCAGCCCCTTGAATGTTTTGGATCCATTGGTGGTGGTGCTGACTCCGGCCTGGCCTAGCTTGCGCAGCGATATCAGATTGGCCTTCAGCCCCGGTACGAGTAACACGTCCTTCAGCACAACCAGTCCACCATCAGGTGCTCTGAATGCAGCGACCTTCACTGCATGTCCGGATGCTGAGCGCACTTCAGAGATTGGAGGCGCTCGCACAGCATCCAGCAAATCCTTGCGTGGTGTCATTGTCCATGCAGCACCAGAGTCCATGACCCACATGTCAAGCGGGTGCAATTCCTCTCCAGCCCTTGCAACAGCTGTGCCACTGTCATCTTTGTCACACACATGGTAGAACTGTCCAGCATTCCTCTCCTCATTTCCCATTCCTCTGTCATCCTTGGAGGTTTCTTCAGCAGGATCAGCTACCATGTTGGCACCTCCATGTGGTTGCTTTCCTCCATTCCCCTTTTGCGATTGGTTCCAAGGGGTCCACCAGTCGGGCTTGGTAGAGCAGCGAAACCATGGATGCCCTTCTTCCTTGCAATACCAGCACTCTCCCCTCAAGCGTGGTTCACTGTTGTCATTGTTGGAGTGACCACCTCTTCCTCTTGCACCAGCGCCACCACGCCCCCGCTGGTTCCAAGTCCGCGACCACCTTGGTTGTAGTAGAGCGACCGCGATTGCCACGCCCTCGATCCCTCCATGTCCCTTGCATGGCATAGCCGCTGGTGCTGTCATCACCTCCGCGCAGTGTTAGCGACGAAAATCTTCTTCCAGAATCTTGGTGCGAATCCACTCCAATGTCCATTGACTTTGGTTTTGTGGCAAGCTGAGTCCGCTTATAAATTGCAGCCAAGACTCGGGCAGCAGGCTGAGCATCTTGAGACACTTAGTCTGCTCAGGGTACGTGATGCCTGCAATCGCCAATTTCGCGTAGAGTTCCCTCATCTTGTCCAGTACGGGCTGCACAGGTTCATTCTCGCTCAACCGCAGCATGGACAGCTCCCGATCCAGCATGAGAGAAGCGGCAACCGATGTCGGAGCGTGCAGGTCCTTGAGCACTGCCCATGCCTTGGGCCCACAATCAGTTTCCGGTAGCAGATGCATGATGTGATGCCTCTGGTTCAGCTCCAAGCTTTGTGACAGTAGATAATACCCAGCAGATGAACGTTCATCCCAGTCCGCTTGCTCTGCCATTTCCTTTGGCCTGGGCTCCGTTCCAATCATGAGCTTCAAGAGGCCAATTTGTCGAAAGTAGAGCTGCATCTTCCATGCCCAATCATCATAGCCATCTCCAGAGAACTTCTCAATGGTGAAGTTCTTCAGCACCTCCTTAAGCAGTGACCCCTGGCTTGTACGCGCTCCCCTTTGCTGCTTGCAATGCCAGAATCTTGGGTTGAGCTGCCTCCTTGGACTGAAGTATCACCTCCACCAGAGTCCTCCTTATCTCCCATCGTATTTTAGGTCCCAAATGCGTGATAATGGCTCTGATACCACTTGTTGGTTAGAGAAGGCTATAGCAGATGATTCAATGGCTCCTTGGAAATTTCTGCAGCACTTCGTTATGACGCCCAGAAAACTCGCGACCTTCGAAAGCTATATCCAAAACTCCAATCGGTGAAACGATCTGAAAATCGGATATGTTGTAGCTGCAGCGTCAGCTTTCCACTGAAAGTTGAATCACTCGATTCCGTAGCTTACGAGTGAGCTATGGCGTTTGGCGCACTGGGGGGTAATCTGCCCTAGGAGAAGTTGACAGTCCTCAGAGTCACTATGATTGAAGCTTACAAGTTCAGACATGATGGAAAAGGCATTGAAGCACAGTTGGAAGGTGGGGTAGGAAGGGAAGGATGAAAGGGAAGGACCCTGGAGGCCCATGGTCAAGAACATGACAAGAGTCAAAGTTTTGACTCCCCATCCTCAGGTTCAGCCAGCCTGGCAAGACAAAATTCACACTGTGCCAGGTTGGCCTCCAAACCCCAAATGCTGCAGCTGCAAGGTGGGGACAAAAGTCCCACACATGCTGGTCCCTCCTCGTTATAGGGCTCTCCAACTTTGGTGTAGCAGCTGACAAGGACTTCCAATGAGTTGTAACAAATCCATCAAACATTTCTTCGTAACTTCTTCATATGTGCTCCGATTCCAACAATTCTTGGCTCGTTGGAATGTGCTCGATGATGCACAATCCAAGCACATCTGCACAAGCACAAGATGAATATGCAAAGACATGCAAACCCAACAAACCATACAAACAACGTAGCACACAAAACACATGCAACGAAATGATGCGAACAGACGACAGGATGACGTGCAAACGAATATGCACCAACACAACATCCGTCTACCTTATGCATGGGCTCCCATACACCATCCCAAAAAAACGCTCGCATGAAAGTGCCACCTGTCCGCGGTTAACCAACTTCCCTGACGTCATTTCTCGAACGCCATAGTGCAGGTGAGCTGGATCTTATTGTTTCGCAATCACATTCCCTTCCTTTGCCTTTTCGCCTTGTCAATTGGTTCAACAGAGTGTTGCTCATGTACAATATCGGTGCACTTTGTTTCATGTGCGCTTGCTTTTCAGAAGTGGACTCATTCGACCTGCTAAAGTGGCATGCCAATGCGAACTGCTTGCCATTTTCAACACCACCCTTTCAAATGGGGATTGCAGCTTCATTTCGTCAGAAGAGGGCCGGCCTTCTGATCTTAAAGCCATATCATGTGGCGTACTGGCTCTTTGGAGTACGTTCCTTGTGTTGAGCCTTTTGCTTTCGTATTTTCCAGCAGTTTGAATAATATTTTTCTTTGTGGCGGCCTATGCAGGTGGAATGTCGGATGAAAAACCCAAGCAAGGACAGCTTGACAAGGAGCGGCCCACAGAACGAGGATGCCACCGAAGTGTATCACAAGAACGTCCTAGCATGGATGCGCCACGCCATTGCTCACCGCGACAATAAGAAAGTACCCTGGTACAAGAAGGAGTACGCTGTTCCGGCCTTCTCATCTGTTCCCTCAGTCCTCTCCTCCTGCAGCGTTCTCGCGGAGCATGCTCCCTAGTGGGACAGCGTTGCATGGCATGGGGTGGGATGGGTAGGAGAGCGGGCACCATTTTAGCAGGATCAGTAGGAGGTGGCAATGGGGAGATACACGTTGGTGCAGCTTAGACTGGAGGGGTAAGCAGTGGGGAGAGTTCTTAAAGAAGGGGGAAAGGAAGCAGCGCCCTGCAATTCTGAAAGTGGACGGAAAAACAGTTGTGGGTTCAACAAGGAAGAGCGGGGAGTGTAGTGGGAGTGGGGAAGGAGGGTGGGGAATAGGGAGGGGGGGGGGGGGGGGGGTTTGTTCTGAAGCAGGGAGAGAAGGGGTGGTGGGGGATCCAACAGCAGGGGGGATGGCAATAGCAGCAGCAGGTTGGGGGAGTGCGGGGGTAGAGGAGAGGGGGGGGAAGGGGTTGTTCTGAAGCAAGTGTAAAAGCAGCAGCGGGGGTTTTATGAGCAGAGAGGAAAACAGCAGCGGGGGAGACGGGAGTAAAGTAAACACAGCAATGGTGGTTCTGAAGCAAGGGGGAAGGAGGTTGTGAGGGATCCTGAAGCAGGGGGGTGGCAGCAGTGGGGGTTCTGAAGCAGTGGGGAAGAAGGGGTGGGGGATTGTGCAGCAGTTGGGTGGCAGCAGCAGGAAATTGGGGGCGGGAGGTAGAGGGGGGGTTTGTTCTGAAGCAAGTGTAAAGGCAGCACGGGGGTTTTATGGGCAGAGAGGAAAACAGCAGGGGGGAAGACAGAAGCAAGGTAAACACGGCAATGGTGGTTTCCACAGCAGGGGAAGGAGGTGGTGGGGATCCGAAAGCAGGGGAAGCAGCAGTGGGGGTTTCTGAAGCAAGAGGGAAGGAGGTGGTGGGGAGGGGAAGGGGAGGGGGAGGGGAGTGGGGCGGGTTGGTGGGGGGGGTTCAAATCTGGGGGAGAGTATCGGGGGGGATTCGAAGGCAGGAAGGTGGGGTGAGGTGTGGGTCGTGTGCGCTGTTCCGAAGCCTGGCTGGAAAAAAGCAGTGTGGGCTCTTATCCCAGAGCCAAAAGTCCCTGATTATGTATCCCCATGCCCTCTCATCACATTATTTTTCCACCTCCCCAATCTTATGTCCATCTTGCACTCATTTTCATCCATCCTGCCTATGATTGATTTGCATCTCCTTCCTCAAATTCCCTGCTAACCCCACGTTTCAGGGCAACGTCGGTCCACGTGAAGCAGCATAGTCCGCCCTGCATGTGCGTCTTGCATCTCACTCGTTGTTGTTTCTGTACAATAGGTGGCGGAATTGTCCAGGGGGGAGCTGATCTTCTTCGACGTTTTTCCACTTGAACGCACGGCAGGCAGGGAACTAGCTCTGGCTACCAAATGAGAGCAATACGACACTTGCGGCGTATGCGTTAGGGAGACGTTGACGGGATCTGGTGATTCCGCCCTGCCAATCAAGCGTGAGGCTGGGGTGATGCTCTATACCCCTGTACACACCGTCCTCTTATATGCTTAAGACGACCCCCTCACATTTTACAACACCTCGAATTTCTGATGCCCCCATATAAATAAGCATAACCTAGTGTAATCGAAAGGGAGGGCGCATCTGAAATATTGATAATAACAATGTGATAGTATTGAAGGGCTCAATTTTTTCACCAATGTGAATGTTTCGTCAACGTCTCTTGACAATACTGAAGGCTCACTTGTGCTGCGGTTTAGCCGGGTTAAATACCCTCTACCTGTATGCATCGGTCAAAGTAGTCTGTTCTACTTCGTTGCAAATCTCTGTACTCTAAATGCCCACGCACTACCGAAGTTGCGGGGTGTATTCCTGGCGTGTTTGCTAGGTGTTGCAACAGTATTGTAAGAATGCACGGGGTTTCTTTGCGCAAACCTTGGCCACTCCGCGACTCCAATCCCACAATTATTCCCTCGCACAACATACACCGGACAATGACACAAGCATGTTTGGGCATACTTTTCGGAGCACCAAACTCTGGGACGAGCTCCGCCAGCTCGCTTGCCAGATTGCTGCCAGCAGCTTGCAGCCTGCTGGCTGCCAGTTTGCTGCCAGCAAGCTGCCGCCAGCCGCGCCAGCGGCTCGATCACAACTTGCCGCCGCCAGCACGCTGCTGCCAGCTCGCCGCTGCCAGCTCGTCGCCAGCAGCTCGCCGCCACTGCCACCTTACTGCCGCTTGCTACTGCTACCGCCTGCCTACAATCAATGACCACTGCCACCAGCCCGCTGCCAGCCCGCCGCTGCCGCCAGCTTGCTAGCTGCCACCAGTCTGCCACTAGCCGCCACTGCTGCCGGCCTGCAAATTGCTGCCACTACCACCAGCCTGTCACCAACGGCCACTTGCCACCAGCCTGCCGCTAGCCGCTGCTGTTGCCGGCCTGCCTCCTCACTGTCACTGCTGCCAGCCTGCCACTAGCGTCGCTGCTGCAGCCTCCTGCTCACTGCCGCCAGTCCTGCCGCTATCCGCCATTGCAGTCAGCCTGCCATTAGCCGCCACTACCGCCAGCCTGCTACTAGGTGCCTTTGCCATCAGCCTGCCACTAGCCGCTCGCTGCCACTGCCGCCAGTCTCCTGCTAGCCTCCACTACTGCCAGCGAGCCGCCTGCGATTACATGTGAAGGTTGGGAAACCTTCACATGACAAAAGAGCAGCCACGACAACTCCAAGGCCACCATGAATGTTGTCAGGAAACTTTAGCTCCTTCAGTGTCAGCCTGGATTGTGTCAGATGCCACATTAGACCATGGATTTATTACCAGCTCGGCGAAACAAACCTATTGGAATTGCTTTTATATTCCTACAATGAACATTGCTTCTACTGTATCTGTTCACCGGGCTCTATTCTCTAGGTCCAGTCCAGCACCTCTTATCAAGCTTCAAGATGACGCTATTTGTCTCTTGCAATCACCACGCTCAAGACATGAACAAGGCAATCACGAAAATTACGCAGTGGAATCAAGGCAAGCAAGATGGCTTCATTGGAAGTATAGGCATAAAGCCAAGTATCGTTTGGATCTAAAAAGTCCCCGTTATCAGCTATCAGGCAGTACTGAGGTGCTCATCGTCGCACCAATGTCCGAAGCAAACTCTGCCTGGTGTGGAAACCAGGTCAAGTCATCATCGTTCGAACACGGAGGATTTTGGGGAATCTGCTCCGTCCACTCCTCAGGGTGTGGCTGATGTGCCGCCTGTGCTGACGACGGAGGAATCTTGTAACGGTGTCCGTTCCATCGGTCCCTGTACCCCTTCGGAGCCTGCTAATACAGAGTCCACCGAGCCTCCTGTCCTGGGTTCGCCTGCTGCTGCCGGATCGCCCGCTGATGACCTGCCTCCTGTCTTGTTTCATGTGGGGGAGCAGAGGTGCTGATGAGGAAGGGTGGATGGATAAAGAGGAGGAAAATGATGGTTATATCACTTATGACCCTGATGAGTGCTCTGATCCAATCCTGACAGCGGAGGTTGGTGCGTTGGTTCGTTTCCGATTATGCTTCTGATTCTGTTTGAGTTTCCGAGCGAGCTATCTTGTACAAATGAGTCGGTCTGTTCCCTCCTGCTGCACTGGAGGCATCGACTCACCGTGGATGTAATGGAATCAACCAATTTTGAGGAGCTGCCTCCGGCTTACCTGTCGAAGCGCCGTTATGCTCGTCTGCAGATTATTTTTACTCATGAGAAAGATGATGCTTTCATCGAGACGCATGCGCTGGAGCGTACTTGCTTGAAGGGGGAGATCCTCTCGCTGGGTGGCAGTTCACGGAAGATGCAGGTTTCCTTAAGATGAGGGGCAATGGATCCATCTCTTATTAAACATATGTTCAAGAGCATTCCCGTGACGATCACACCAGACATGTGTGCAAGATGTTGGTGAAGAGTGGAGGCCAGCGTACCCGAATGGTTACCATTTCCACCGGGTGATGGATCCGGTGTCAGGCTCAAAACTGAAAAGATCAATGAGCTTCTGAAGTAGCACCCTGATGACTGCTACCACTGGGCGTCACCTGATTGAAGATCCGTCGCAGAAGAGGAAGATGTTGAAGTTTATCATCCGAAACTCACCTGCAAGCTATGTAGCGGCATGCATCGGAGAAGAACCATGACGTGTTTGCCGTCAAGCGCCAGGATAACATCAACAACAAGAAGCTGACCCTGGGGGGGGGGGGGTCATGAGATTAACGGTAACTGCTCACCTTCTTGTTTCTCGTGCACTTTGCTACTGCCGTTCCTCATTCGTAACTCTTCACTGCTACTTTGCACCTCGCTCTGCACACTGTCGCTGGTTGGTACCTGTCTTACTGACGTCTCCTCTCTGCACTCCGTATACAGTTGCCTCTCTCACACTGTCAGGTCCGGTGAAGTTGATCCTGAAGGATCCGGCCATTGCGCTGGCAAGCACAGATTTACCTGCCGACGGTGGAGATCTGCAGGTAGTTCAGGAAAATGGCACACAATTCCGTGTCATGGGGAAGAGCATTAATGGATAGGAACTTCATCCTATGGAGCTATCAGCTAATGTGCATGCCGCGAAAGGATGGTAGACTGGGGGTGCTGGAACCTAAATTGAGAGTGGATTGCATGAGTCTCCGAAGCGTTGTAGGCTGGCTGCAGGAGCGCAGCCCGACAAAGAGATGGCTGACGGAGGAGGCAGCGGCGCTCCTGCTCGGGCTGGCTTCTTTCTACTCGCACCCAGCGCTACTTAGGCATTGGGGGGGGGGGGGGGAGCAGGAGATGGGAGTCGATTGCGGAGGTGTTCATATGCTCGAAGCAAGCGAATGTACCAATGGCGTGTTCGCGGTGGGACGTCGAACAGGAGCAGCTGACTTTCAACAGGCACATAGCGTATCGGGGTAACAGTCCTTACGGGAAGCAGAATGAGTCAGCGAAGCTGATGGGGGTGACGATCGGGAAACTACTGAATAAACATTGCGATGGCTTAAGGACTTTGAAAGATCACCGTACGCTGTTTGCGGAACTAGGGGGCGACCTGGTGGCGAAGATGACAGTTAAGGTGTACAAAGCAGCACCTGGGAGCTGGAGGCAGCTGGCTCTCACGGGCCTCACTGCAGAAGAATTCAGCTGCAGCCGAAGCAGCAAAAGGCCCCGGAGATGAGCTGGGGGAGACATATCAGCTGGAAGAGGGTCATTCAGAGGAGAGACTCGATAGCGGTCCCTGTTCAGGCTTCACTGTATGAACCTGCAAGTAGGATGCAGGTTGTCCTTTTTGGGGGACAAGGCGGTCTGCCCATACAGTAGAGAAGAGGAAACTTTGACTCACTGCCTTCTGTCCTGCCCGACTATCCAACCTGTCATCAGCGCGCTGCATATGTCACTTCGCATTATGAATCCGGCGGGTAGGAGTCTCGCTGGAGGACCTGTTGTTTGAGTCGGGCAGCACAAAGTCCGGTTTTCCGGAGACCACCATCATCGCCATCACGTTTCAGCACATCTGGAATGAACGGTGTGAAGCAGTTTTCGGGGGCAGCAGATTCAGGGTTTGTGGATGGCAGCTGCAGCTTTTCATCTTCATGCAAGGACGTACAATGGTGTCAGGTTTTGGGCACGTCGCAACAAAGGATATGCGCAAAGCAGGGTCGACTGGATCCACCTGGCAAAGGATGATTATACCGTTATCCGCCGCATTTGTGACATGAAGATCAAGCTGCTGACGTGGAACGAGGGTTTCCAGTCAATCTGGAACAGCTCGCCCTCCATGCACAAGCCGCCGTAAGCAAGAGATAGGGGGATCTGGTAGTAACCTACCTTAGGCCCCAGTTACAACCACAACTGTGAAGCCTAACATTGTATACCTTGTACTATGATGTAATGATAAATAAATAAATAAAAACCAGCGGCCCACCTGCGGTCAGCCGGCCGCCATTTCGCCACCAGCACCTTGCCCACTGCTAGCTGCCAATTACGAGCTCCCAGCCACCAGCAGCCATCTGCCAGCTGCTAAACCGCCGCTCCGGCCACAGCCGCCACTGCTGCTCCCACAGTTCATGCTCCCGCAGCCCCTAGCACCTCCCAATAGTCTCCTCCTCGTTCTTAGAGTTCCTCGCCGCCTCCCCTATCGACATGACGACATCGTCGGGATCTGTCCCTTGGCTGGACGCCGAAGGCCGAGTGGTCGACGTCGCTGTCTGGATTCTCGTTCTCTGCAGGAAGCTGGTGAGCCAGCACGTGGACTGCGAGCTCCTAGAGGCCCACATTACTGGTGAGCTCATCGAGGTATGCTAAGAGCTGCCTGCCCCGAGCCGTAGGAGCAGTAGCAGCCGCAGCAGCAGAAGCAATTGCAGCTACTGTACCGCGGTGGGGACCTGTGAGTGTTGGGTATGGTGGAGGCCTAGGAGGTTGGTGTTAGAATATACCATGCTATGCTAGTTGTGTATATTGTGTTTACATCCCTAGTTGGGTGTACACCTGTGTTGGGATGTCAATCCAACCCAATTGTGTTGGAGCCCCCAAACACAAGGACCACAATTGTGGGGGCACCACAAGTGGGTTGGCTAAACCACTGGTGGTACACCACACTTGGACCACCTCCAACTGGTGGTCAACCATATTTGGAAGGATCCTCCCTCCCTTGTGATTGGTCCTAACCCCCTTTCCCTTCCAACCTTCCCTTCCTAGCTCATCCCTCTCTTCCTATGTAACGCCTTTGCTTCATCAATAAACTGAACCTTTCTGTTTCTAACATGGTATAGAGCAATAATGGCTCACGCCAACTTTTAAATCCCGATCCTTCCCCACGCTTCCGCCCCGTCCCCTTCCGACGTGCACCTCATTGCCGTCCCCTGCATCGCCGCTGCTAGACTCCTAGCCGCCGCCTCTCAACTAGTTTTCTGTTGGGTGGATTTTCAAAAACCCCCAATGCGCCAAACGCCATAACTCGCTCGATAGTTGACAGAATTGAGTGATTTGACTTGCAAAAGAACGCTCTTGGTGTCAGCTAAAACGTCGTAAAATTTCGAACTGTTTCATCGCTTGGATTGTCAGATATCGCTTTCCGAAGTTTGCACACTTTCCTGGATGTGATCACGAACTGCTACTGAAATTTCTACCAAGTCCTATTTTCATCAGCTAACTGCCATCTTTCCCCATCTTTTGCCTCCTCACCTGCACCTGCTCATCGCCGCCTTACCACTGCTGCAGCCGTAGCAGCAGCAGCAGAAGCAGCAGCAGAAGCAGCAGCAGCACCAGAAGGAGCAGCAGACTAAGCAGCAGCAGCAGCAGCAGTAGCAGCAGCAGCAGCAGCAGCAGCAGCAGCTGAAGGAGCAGCAGCAGCAGCAGCAGCAACAGCGGCAGCAGCAGCAGTGGCAGCAGCAGCAGCGGCAGCAGCAGCCACAGCAACAGAAGCAGCAGCAGCAGCAGAAGGAGCAGCAGCAGCAGCAGCAGCAGCAGCAGCAGCAGCAGCAGCAGCAGCAGTATCTACAGCCATCCCCATCCTCCCCTCCTCTTTGAGCCGCTGCGGGTCCACCCGCCGCCGCTCCCTCCCGGCCACCGCGGGTCCACCCGCCGTCGCCTTCCTCCCACTCCGTGTCACCAATGGCATCCTTTCCCCCTCCCGTCGACGTCTCGACCCTCGATCATCTCGTGCGCGCTGCCGACAACTCAGCAACCAACTGGTATTCCTTCGTCGGCAGCCTCCACCGCGTCCTCGGCAGTGCTTATGTCCTGCCGTTCCGCCTCCTGGACATCATGCTTGGTCTCCCAGAGGGCGACCTTGGGGACCCGCCGCCTCACCCTGGCGATCCCCCCCCTCTCATTCCCCATCCCGGCGAGGAACCTCCGCCCCCCATGGTACCCGTTGGCACCAGCACTCGCGCTGCCACCGCTGAAGTTGAGCAGCTCTTCCTTACTCAGCGTCGTGAGTTCCTCGTGCTCCATACTGATTACCTGATCGTGTTGGAGGAACACGAGCGGTCGGCAACCCTCCGCACCCAGCATGCCGCTACCGCCGCCGCTTATGCCGCTGACTCTGCGCGATTTGCTGAGCGTCGTCGCGCCTGGCTCGAGGCGGACAGCCGTGCTACTGGTGCCCTTCTCCTTGCCATCCCGTCTGCGCTCATGCGCAACTTCCAGGCACGTCGCATCGGCTCCCGCCAGATCTGGCTCGAGCTTGAGGCAATGTTCGAACGCACCGACTTCGATGGTGTCGGACCGCTCTTCAAGGAATACTTCAGCATCACGATCGAACATAGTGCTGGCGCCGTTGACTACACCAGCCGTCTCCTGGACCTTGCCTCCCGCCTTGAGGCTCGCCAGACTACTCTCCCCCCAACCTTCAGATCTACCGTCTCCTCGAAGGCCTCTCCCCTCAATATGAAGTGCGCGTCATCGCTTCACTGAGGCTCAGCCCCGCGCCTCCCTTGACACTGTGGTCCAATGGATCATTGACGCTGAGGCCCGCCTTCTCTCAACCCCCCTCCGGCCTGAACTCCACCGAGTCCCAAAACCCCCAGCTTGCAGTCACACAGCCGCGTCGTGGCGGGCGCCCACGTGGCGGCCGCACCAACCCTCAGGGAGGGGGTAGAGTGGCGGTTGTGGGGCAGCGGAGCCGGCGGCGGTGGTGGCGGGGTCGAGGGTGGCAGCAGTGGTGTGGTGGAGGCAGTAGTGGCTCATCTGGTAGCCGTGGTGGCCGCCCTGGCACTCTCCCCCATGTTCCTATCTTCCGTTTTGGTCCCAGGGCGGGTGAGCGCTGCACCCAAACCAACCATCCCCCGTGACCTGCTTCAAGGCGTATGATGACGCCTGGTTCGAGCGCGGCAACACTGGCACACCCTCACGCTGGTCTGCCATGGA